TTAAGTATTTCATAGTCTATGTATGAAAAAGGTCATGAACAATGACAGGGCACAGGCAAACCTGCAGGCTATGTACTTGATGCTTCCTCGTTTCTTTCCTCATATGACTAATTTTCTCTTTCTTCGCTAATACGCTAATGCTTTTTCTATTTCAACTGACATTTGTAGCCACAATTTACTTGGCACTCTAATCGTGCCTATTTACAGAACATTTACATTTTTTATACTATTGCGATAGGAAGCGAGCGAGGGAAATAGCTCTTAATCTGAAGACAAGGAGAAGTTAAATTGTGCAATTATTCATTATGGAAGACCGCTAAGAGGAAGGTTTTGATTTAGGGCAGAAAGGTTTATATTCTCAAAATTTTGAGTTTAGGTTCCGAATCAGTTACGTCATCAGCATTACGCAAGCCATGCGACATGGCTTTATCTAGAAATGACACAGTCCAGAAATGTCATTCATTTTTTTTTAGAATAAAGAGGAAATAAACAAATTAAAAAAGAGGAATTGATTTTTACATTACAAATTCCAAATCCCCTCTTCTGAAAGAGAGAAAAGCTTGGTTATAGAAAAGCCTCTAATTATATTGTATCACACGTCTCTGAATTAAATCGAATCTATATATTCTAATGAATCGTTTTTATATTACACGCCAAAGGAAAATTATTTTTTCGTATTCTATTGTATCGTTAGAGCTACATTACCTGATTTATTGAAGTTTTCATTTACCCTTTTAATCAGAAAAATGTCTTTGACATAATTTCATATAGAATGACAGTATAGAATGTTTCTTTACTTTCAGTAGAATAATATGACTTTCTTAATTTGTTGCTACTGTGTCTGTAATTTGTGCATTGTTACATTTAAATTATTGCATATTATGTAATTGAATACATGGTTTATTATTTTTCAAATCATCGTAGTATTGCGTATTAAGCAAAGAATTCATGACTCATTATACGCAAATCATTATAGCGTTTATAAGCTATTTATCTAACTACTTCTTATTATTATACAGTAGTGCATTGTACAACCTGAAAAAAAGAACTAAATATTGTTGTCGTAGCAGCGTCGCATTTATAGTGTAATTGTTTGCCTCCATATCTACATACACTGTATTATTTTATTATATATAATTAATTTATTAATTACTTAGTATCAAATCTTTATATACCTGTTGTGACTCTCTGACTTAAAGTTATGATCAGCAAAGGACCGGAAGATTTTTACACAACATGGACGCTTTTTCCACAGAATGCCATTAACAGCCGAAAGTTAATCACAAGTCAGTTTTCCTTTCTGTGGTGAGTAAACAAATAATTGATAACAGGTAAATATTCACAATTCTGCGGTGAAAAACCGATTCTTTCACTCCTACTTGAATTAACGCTTTTAGTAAATTAATATCATCAAATGTTTCGACACTATAAAGACGCAGAGCTGTGATTCACATCTCTCAAATTAATCTTTGCCAAAATATCATATACAACAGTCATCAAACAGAGACATGTGATGGTGCCATGCAATTTCTCATTTCATCTTTGTAAAATTCAGTTAAAATTCTTTTCACCTTAAGACGTCTTAGACAGTATAATGCTTAACGAAGGTTGACCGCTAGGACAAACTCTAAGCTGCTGGGCTCAAATTCCGCATAATTGTTTATACATATTCTCTTTCTCTTCTCGAGCGATGTTGTGGATCATGAGACCGCTAAATGTTCAATGGGTTTGGTCATTTCCAGCAGGTGTTTCAGGGACAAGTGTCCAGACATTTTGGAAGGTCATGCATTGGTCAGAAACAATGAGAAGTTAGAATGACTCCAACTGTAACCTAATGCTCTAGATATCTTTAAAAACTAGTCTAAGAAATACTTGAGTTTTTATTGCAACTTAGAGCGACTGCAATTTTTCCAGGAGTAAAAATAATTCAAGATGATATTAGAAACAATGCAGAAATTCTCCTTAACCTAAGAAACATAGTATAACACTATGTTTAACTATGTTATTATATATCACAACAAGGACATGATCAATGAGATCGAAAATCCACATTTTAATTAGAAATGTACAAGAGAATTTTTAAATCATTCGCAAGCAAAGGCTAAAATTATTGATAAATGCAGCGATATTGTAGTCAACGATTGCGCCGAAACTCTTATATTAATATTCATTATAGATATATTTCTCAATCAATTAATTCAGTTCTCACTTCGCGGCAAAGCAAAAATGCATAAAACTCAAAACATCTTCATTAAAAATTGTAAAATACAGAAAAGGACAAAACACCAAATATAGCTAAAACAGTTAAAAAAAAAAAATCTGATGTGTATACCACATGACTTCCTTGTACGGAATATTAAATTATACGCATTTTTTCTTGCATTTCATTTAAACTTATTGGATTGAATTAAATCTACTTCGCCGACAGCGCATAGACCACAATAGAATAAATGCATTCTTTAAAATCACTCGAGTATTTGTTTACCATAGCGACACTCTGGCGCTAGATTCACTTAACAGTATTATATTTCGTTCATATTATAACTCATAATGCACAAAATTTATATCATTTAAAGAATAGAATTATCTAATCGTGTTACACATGTTCTATTCAAATACTATATAATAAAGCTAGAATGATGTATATAAAAGAAATCAAGCAAAAAAAAAAAAAAAAGAAAGAAAACAACAATTTTTCACAGACGATTGAGTATTTCTCATTCAATTAATTCAGTTCTCACTTCGCGAGAAGGCAAAAATGCATAAAAAACTCAAAATATCTATATTAAAAATTACGAAGTAAATCTTGAACACTTATTTCCTCGAAAAAATTCCAGAAAGGATTAAGCATGATTTAATTGGCAGTAATAAATGAAGGTGTTATTTTTGTTGTTGGGAAGCTAAGTTTCTCTAGATTGGCAACAAATCCACTATCCTGCTGTTTCAAATGTAAACAAACAATGGCCGCCATCAAGAGAAGTATTAGGCTTAGCGACACTTAAACAACTTTAAAATTGTTGATAATTCTAAAAATATGGCATAGAGATTTACTAAAGGCATAAAAACTTTAACCGGAAGATAAGAACAACATAATTCAATCATTGTTAAAGCAAAAAATGTACAATTTACAATGATATAAGAATAAAGAAACTTGAGATCACTGAGCCGGGTAACAGAATGGATATATATATAAATATATTTATATACGTTTGGTGCGGCCGATTGCAACCAAAATACGAAATGCACATCTACATGTTATAGCAGTCCTATATACAAAATTTCAACGTTCTGAGGTAACTCGTTTTTGAGTTATGCGAGATACGTACGTACGCACGTACGTACATACGTTCGTACAGACGCCACGAAATCATTTTAAAACAAAAAATTCACAATTTACCAATATATAAGAACAAAATAACCTGAGCTCACCGAGACTGTCAACAGAGTGGGTATGTATATGTACAAATTTCTCGTTTTTTATATTTTTCCTCTTTGAAGTGAACGATTTTTGATTATAAATTTGTATTTTTCTTTAATTTACGTTTATTTTGTAACACAGAGAAAATAGGATTAACCTACAACTATTAAATACAGCATTTTCTTTTTCGTTCCGATTTTCAAGATTTTGATTTATATATATATTTATATTCATGTAATAATAAAATTAATTGTGATATATGAATACATGGAAAAGCCGGAGCAGTGTCGATGCGTGCTTAGATCAATATTGAAGAAGAATTTTGATTGCGTAGTAAGCTAATGTGTTGACTTCGTAAATAACACTTGGCAGTCGAGGTGATTTTAATTCCATTTTTATCTGCAATTGATTTTTGTGGCCACAATCACTTGCCACTCTAGTCGTGCCTTTCCACAGAAGATTTACATTTTTGATATTGTTGAGATAGAAAGCAAGCCAGCGAAATTACAGTAGAGAGCAAAGCTGAAGTGCGTAGTTATGCAAGATGGAAGCACGCGAAGACTTAAGTTTTGGTTTGCAATTTGTCTTCGCGTCATGAGGTCAAGAGGCATCTGCATTAAGGGTTACGTAGGATCGCATGATTAATTTGAATGACGCAGTTTAGACTTAAGCGCTATTTTTATGACAGATAGATGAAGTTTTCAAATGAAATAGAAAATAAAAGAGGTTATAGTAAATTAAATTTAGAAGTTTGCTTTCATATTTTTTATCTTACACATATATATATAGTTGGTGCCGCCGATTGCAACCCAAAAGGGAGGTGCAGAACTGCATATTATAGCAGTCCCATATACAAGATTTCAACGTTATGAAGCTACACGCTTTTGAGTTAGCAAGATGCATACATACGTACGTATACGAACATACGTATAGACATCAGGAAAAAAATCTTTACTGAATCCTTTTTAAATCCCTTTTTCAATTCCTTTCTGGGGGGGGGGGGGAAGAAGTTCTTTATTCTGTTCATACGCAAAAACATTGTTTAAATGAATTCGGGAGTGGTCAAAAGGAATAAATATGATACTTGAAATTTTTCACAATTACAATGCTTCCTTTGCTTTGCACAAGGAAGTAAAAAGTATTATGAAATGAAAGCTAGCAAAAATTAAGAAGAAAAGTCGCGCTAAAAGTCTAAGTAACATTTATAATATTTAAGTCCGTATCCTTGTCGAAATCCCGGATAGTGTGCAGTAAAGAAGTAGACTATTAAAAAGACCCTCAGAAGGAAGGTCTTTAGCTCTTGAAATCCAAATTTCTTTCAAAAAGGGTGTATGAATCTACTCATCAAAAAACACTTAACAGTAAAAATAATTTCAATATGGTATGTGGATGGCAGTTTGCCTATACTTAGCGCATTGCATTACATAGAGACAAACGCTTTTCGTTAAGAGTGTTAAAATAGAGTTCGTAGTTGAGTATGAGGCATTAGTTTACGGATTTTCCTGCGCGTTTTTTTTTTTTTTTTTTTTATTTTTTTTATCGCGGGTATATATTGGAAAAACGACTAAAACGTGTTTTTTGGGAGAGGAGAGCAATTCGAGCATGAACTCGACATCCGCGAGAAGGTGAGTGCTCCCTCGGTCGCCCGTCACGCAGTTCTTCCCCAAATCTGCAAAACCTTTCGACTCGAAGCACATTTCGAGAAACTATGAGTTATGAAGCACATGATTCGTGGATAAGGTAAGGAATCTCCTTTTATATCAAATGTGACTATGCAAAATGTGCAATTTCTCTTATGAGCTGATGTGAAGTAAGGAAATTAAGGTGGAGGTTGCTGTCAGCTAATCTGTCACTTTCAGACGGGAGTGGAATTACACACGTGAGGAAAACAGAATGCACTTTCGATTACCCGGAGCAGTTAGGGGTGGAAAAGCTGATTCATAGCTTAAATGGATAGTCAAAAGTACATACTTTTAACTATTCAAATATAATTATAAAATGCATAATTACTTTATGATATGTAAAGTATTTTTCAATTTTACTTAACGTTTAAATAATTTTAAGAATGCTATAGCTTTAGAGAATGGTATTAAGAAAATAGTGCGTACACTTATAAATAGTTATACCGCTTAATATTTCAAGTATTTAATTATTAATGAAAGTAATATTTTTTTATATATAAGCTTCCATGCACATGGAATATCCCTTTTCTTCTGTTCAGTTGGTTTTCAATTAAAAATTATGAGCTACAATTTCTGCAAAATTTTTAAGTTTACACAAAACTTGAAATTTTCGGACTGAAAATATTCCAATATGTCTGAAATTTTATACTAAAAGTTGTAAAACTAATTATTAAAAAAAAAAAAAAAAAAAATCTGATTTTGATTTTTCATTTCAAATTAAGTTTCATATTAAAGCGAAGCTGGCGTTTTATTCCATAAAATGCAGTTCCCAGGAATAAGCAGGGAAATAAATATACGAATAAAAGCAAAACTAAAACATTTCATTCATTCAACGTGTTCCCAGTGCAAAATAGCATGTCAGGTTTATATTCAAATAAACCGTGTTCGGTTATTTTTGTCACGAAGAAGTAATTTCGGATAATTCCTACGAGTAATTTCTAAATACTGTAGTTACGAACAGTTAGACAGATGGACTAATTATGTTATTAATTATGTTAAACTTCTAATGGATGTTCATTCCATAGCTAAAATATTTTCCCTGGGGGGGGGGGAAGAAAAAAAATTCGGATCCTGGACCAATGTAGTAACAAGACAAATACATAAAGATCTTTTGAATTTCATGTGGCTTAGTCCGGTGGTCCCAAACTGGCGGCTCGTTAGCCGCATATGGCTCCAGAAGCCATTTCAAGGGACCCGCGAATACATTTTCCGTAAATTAATTAGAAGTATTATGAAAAGTATTTTATTATGGCAAGTATTTTAGAAGGTTTGAGATTTTAATGATTTTGAATCCAGTTTTACATTACTTTCATTAGCATTAAAATTGAATGTGAAATCTACAGATGCAGTTAATTCATTTATACTATGATGTAAACCTCATTCAGAGATATGAAGATACAGACTTGGTCGATCTTTTTACTTCCTTGTACGAAGTAAAAAGGAAGTATTGTAATCGCGAAAAGTTTCAGGCAGCATATTTCAACGAAAATATCCAGTTTGACCGCTATCGAATGCAATTTAACGATGTTTTTGCGTGATCTCACCTAAGGACAGAATAAAAATACTCGTTTCCCGCAAAAATTATAAACTGCTTTAAAATTAATTCTGAAGGAAATTGTGGCGTCTGTACGAACGTTACGTAGATCTCGCATAACTAACTAACGTACATATCTCGCATTAATTAAATTGAGCCGCAAACCATTGTCTTTAGTTTTCAAGAATTCCGACACTGAATCAAACAGTGCCTAAATCAGTCCAAACATGCACTTTTAGATGACAACGAACTTACATGTAAGTAAATAATAAAAAAAAAAAAAAAAAAAAAAAAAAAAAAAAAAAAAAAAAATTTATATATATATATATATATATATATATATATAACCTTCTTATTTTCCAAACAAAGTTGAATAAATAGTTTCTCCTTTGAGTTATTCCTTTTGATTTTATTAAGTGCTCTAATGATATAATTCAATGAGTCCTACAAGTGTTCATTAAGATTTTTGGCGACTAATTGTTGTCGAAGAATTACACAATGTACAGATACGTTCTTATACTTAAGCATGCCAAAGAGTTTTGCTGTCGTCCTCGGATACAGCGTCACTAGCAAAGACAGGATATTACTCGAGTGTATAGCTTTTACATTAAACATCTCTTTAATTCATTAAGTATTGTTTCATCTTTTGTATCAGTTTCCAAATATTTGACAAATAATAATTCTTAGGAAGTTTGTTCTTTAACAAATCTCACTTAAGCTAGAGGTAAAGCTCTTCGTTTCTTAGTAAAATTGACTCTTCAAGCTGAATAGAGAATTCAGATGTTTTTAAGAACTCAAGTAAAGGAATTTTCTAAGCACTGAGCCATTTTGCTAGTCGGGGTTGTAACAACATAAAATGCTTGTGACATTAGAAAATTTTCGGCTTTTGAAAAGCTTTCGGGAAGCTGAAAAGGCGGCTTTTGTTTGCGATATGCAATGAGAATAAGGCGGGGTCGAGAATCGAGAAAGCTATTGTCTTTCCTCTTCTGTAATACTACTGTAATGTTAATATCGTATTTGACGGCATATAAGACGCACCATTACTTAGACGGCCACACACAAGGAAAACAAAGTTTCAATAGCGTGGTTTCTTTTAGTTCTCACGTTTCGTAAAAGCCAAATAAACAATTAATCAATGCAATTACCTTCACGTATAAGACTGTGTCCTTCACGTATAAGACGCAGGTAACTTTTTTGAGACCAAATTTAGGAAAAAAAGTGCGTCTTATATGCCGTCTAATACGGTATTTAATTAACTAAGAAAGCTTATGCTAAGTTTTTAAATCTAAAAAGGCAACCTGTCTAGCTATTTTTCGTCTCGGAAGCTCGGCGATGGTACAGTACCATATTTTTTTTCACAGTGCGAGAAATGTACATATACATCCATGCAGATTCTTCATTATTTAATTTCTTTAAAAGCAATACAGGGCAATAATATTTCGTGGCAACAATTAGAAAAGTGATTCATACATTTAAAGTGATGAGCCGCCAAATTCCGGCTCGAGACTAATAAACCATTTAGGCTAACACCACTTTGAAAAATGCCGAAATACATAAAAATTATGTGAAAACTTTAATTTGAAAATTAACTTTCGATGAATGAATGAGCTGAACTTCTATATGATGGTGTAAAGATCAAAAGTCTGCAAGAAGAACCGCTATGGGAAGATCTAATAGGAAAAACCTATGTCGAAAGTTCCTGCGGTATACTATACTGTCATCACAAATACGCATGTATGGGGAAAACTTCAAGTAACCTGGATTATTAATAAAATAAAGTGCCAGATATTTAGTTCCAGTATTTCACTCAAACAAATAGAAAAACCAAATTAAATAAAACCATGTAAAACCATATTATTGATCGCGACACTACTCAGGCCCATCTGCAGCATTTTCAGTACCTTAAACGATGAATGCATTTGGCATCCATTGCAAATTAAACATCTTTGTAGGGTTCCTCACTTTTATCTTGTTAAATGTAATGTCGAGGAACCTAGTGAACTACTAAGCGAATAATCGCTTAAGTGCAAGAACAGAAACGTAAACTCAAGAAGGGTTAATTACGCTTTATTTGCTTAAAATAAAGATTTTCTCAGGGCGTATAGCAAAGCCTCCATTTGGACTTAAACTCAAAATGTAAGAAATAAGATCTAAATAATGACTAACTAAAGAGATTTAGCCGAAGCTAACACAATTCTAAACTAGTTGGCCCATAATATTCACTTATCCAGGGAAGCTATCAAAAGGGCACGTAATACGACCGAGCTTAGTAACAGTTCGAGAGACGTAGCCAAAATGCAAACGCGCGCTATCTGGGAATCCCAACTCTCTCTCTCTCTCTCTCGAAGTCAGTGGAACTTAAGTACTTTCTGCTTCTCATTTGCATTTAACGCGATTCTAACAACTCATTCTGGTAAGGAATTGTAAGCTGAAGCTAGAAGAGATAGGAAAATGTCATAAACTTAAAACAACTGTTATAAAATTGATATATACCTTACAATCTTAACAATTGAAAGCGAAATATATTTTTATTCATTTGTGGTTTGTGTGTAAAGCATAGCTGGTACCCTCCGAAAATCGGAACTCGAAGTGGCTATGTCGCCTATACTCGGAACTGCTCCTGACTTTGCTGGTATTAACTAAGAAAGAAAATGCAGTAGTATTAAGCAAGTTTTCCATGTCTATACATTGATAAATACTTGATATCAACCACTGCATTTCCTAATGAAACCATGAAAGCACTTGGAAGAAAGCGATATTTCGATTTGATTATTATTAGATAAAGCAGATGTATAAAAATACCAAACATGTTCCTGTTTCCTGCGATAGAAAGCAAGTTTGATGTAGTTGTTTCTGATGTTTGATAAAAACTTATACATATTCATATTAATTTTTATTATTAACATATTTATTTGTATTTCGTTGAAGTAATAAATTTCTTGAAAGAAATTACATGAATAAATAATGAGTCTCAGTTGAAGCATAATTTAAGATAGTCTATAATAAGTACAATCTATAATAAGACAAGAAACTGCCATATTGTGAATAGGATTCGATATGTCATATTATTAAATTCGTTTAGAACAACTACGGATGTTTTCTTTTGGGACGTTTAAAGGCACATAGGACATCTCGACTGACTAATGAAGCAATTTTAATACTACATTTAGAACTATATACTTACTATTTAGTTTCAAAATTCCCAAACTTAATTTGCTAGAGTTACTTAGCTTTTTTCTTTCAAGATGGGGGAAAAAAGTTCAGAAAATTATTTAACCTATATTTTCAAATTTGTTACGTTTGTAGAAGATGTGTTATTTAACAACCTTACCTTGATCTGAAGCGGACCAGGGCAACACCCCTAGAACTTACTCATCCAGGGGGTATATATCCAGGGAGTGCTGACCAGGGACGAGCTACCTGTCTTCCAACATAGATAAAAGGAACAGGTACAGGTAAAAGTATGGGGACAACAGGGGCGATGTACCATGGGTGAACTGGTCATGCCTTCTCATGCTAACTAACCCTAAAAAAGACAAAAAATTCTACAAGCTTTATAAGAGCTTACAAAGAAAGGTTGAGGAGATGAACATCTGAAGTTTTCCAAAGGATCTAAAGTTTACCTATTTTACCTATTACGATACATCGTGCAATCCCACCGTATACAACACATTTAGTATTTATTAAAAATAATGATTTAGGGTAGCGTTTCTTAAACTGTGGGTCACGAGCCCCAGGGGGGTCAAGGGACCTGCAGCAGGGGGTCGCCAAAAATTTAGCAGTTTTGATATTTCTTTAACTTATAATAATGTTACAATTACCAAATAATCTTACACAATGTATCTGAAAATAGATAAAGATAAGACAATACAGACAAAGAAAAATACGAAAACGTTTCCACGCATTCTTTTTATAATATAAACGTTCATTTTCCTTGCTTTGCACGTGACGCTGTCATTTCGTCTGTTACTTATTTAAAATTTTCGCATTGTTTTCTTCTAAAATTAGAAATTAAAGTTAATGACCTAAAACTGCAATAGTATATTACAGTAAGTGAAAAAATTGACACACGGCGTGTGTCGGATTTGCGCAATGCTTATGGGGTCCCACAAAATTTTCGTAAATATTATGAGGTTCTGGGGGTTGCGGTTGAAAAAAGTTTAAGAAGCCCTGATTTAGGGGCATCAAGAAATTACAATATAATTTTAATGCAATTTGAAATTTACAAATAAAATTGAGAACATTTGATTTGATATAACAAAAATAACGGATAAACACAATAAGATGTTACAATAAGTGCTGGGAACACAGTGTTATAATGAACTGTTCTAAAAATGCTAAAGAAGTATCCACGAGGTCAAATCTTTTGAGATTAACATAAAAAAAGTAAAAAAAAAAAAAAAAAAAAAAAAAACATTGTAAGGGGTAAAAAAAAAATTAAAAATAAAAAAAAGAAACTGAAGCTTGGTATTTTACGAATGCAAAAATATAAGGAAAAGATTTTGAAAGAACCAAAAATTTTTTTTTAAATGGTATGCTGAAGCCATCAAGGGAATCTTCATTTGCAAAGATCTTGACAGATCCCTGAAAGAGTCGTTGGATAATTCTTTGAAACTTAGGACTGATGATATCTAATTAGAAACATTTTGAATACCAGGAGATGTATTTGGGGGGATTTTATGTAATTATCCTCAGTTAAAGGACATGAGAAAGTGTAATTACCAGGAGTTTCCTGTACCCTACATCTACAGACATCGAAGTTTGCAAATTTTTTTTTTTTTTTTTTTTTTTTTTTTTTTTGAGTAGAAATATGTGAGGAAAGGTTCGTGTCCTGTTACACAGTAATTTAATGAAGGATTCGAATACAGAAATTCGAAAATTAGGCTGGGAATTAAATTGCATGTGCGCCTACCCAGTGAAGCATTACTGCACGTATCTTGCCAATATTTTGAAGCAAGTTATTTTGGTATTTGAAATTTGAACGAGGCTATGGAAGGATGATTTTTAGTACAATCTTTGATTAAGAGCTGCTTCTTAGGCTAATTTATCTGTCTGATCACAACCAAAACGATCATTACTGGCCCTTGGTTCAGGGAATCCGAATTTTGCAGTTTGGAATTAAAGAAAAAAGATAATTTATGTTGGAAACTAATGGAGATGAAGATAGGGAATTCTTAATCGCTAAAATAGCTGCTTAGAAGTCAGATTTTATGGTATATTCGTTGAGAACTTTTAGGATGGCTATTTCAGTCGCTTTTAAGGTAGATAATTTAGCTTGGGAAACATTATTATAGAGACGACCTTTTCATTTGAGGATATTTGAAGAAGCAGTTTGAAAAAAGACTGCTGAAATAACTTTTCTTTCAATTTTTTTTATCTATCAGTATGTGTAATTGGAGATGAACTGCTTGAAATTTCGTCAGACATTGGGGAATTTTATTTCGTCGAAGCGAAGTGCAGGGTTAACAAGATTCGGATTATTTTTCTTTTCATAACTGTATGGCAGAAAGGTCTGGTTGTTAAATTCCGCAGCTTGAGGAGGGTAACAGTATGGCAGTAGACGTTTGTTATATTCCAGAGAAGGATAAAAATGCCCTTTATTCACTCAAAGAAATGTTTACAGATGGGCCCTCCTCGGGCGTACAGGGAAGCCTCCACTTAGGCTTCAAATCAACATAAGAAAAATAAGAAACTAATCTAATGCTAAATTAAACTGATTTAGCCGAAACTAGACACAAATACCTAAGATAGTTGGCCCTTAATTTAACCTAGCCGGCGATTATCAAAAAGCCCGTACAATACGGCCAAACGTAGTAGATTTAACAACGAAGTAGCCTGACGGAAAACAGACGGCCACTAAGGACTCCTAAGCTTATAAGGTATTTCTCTCACCTTCTTGGCGTTCCTTCGTGGTGTAGTGGTCTGCATACTGGGCACGTATTCCATAGGTCGCGGTTCGATTCCTGGCGAAGGCGTTGCTAATTTTTCATATCTCCTATTTCCGAAATAACCTAATGTCTCTACAAGCTCTCTATTCTTGAAGTAAGCTGAATCTTCCTTAAATACTCCTTCTAACTCATTTGCATACAACGCGATACTAAAAACTCATTCTGGTAGGGAATAGTAGACGGGAAACTAGAATAGACAGTAAAGAATGTTTAAACTTAAAATAACTGTTAGAAACATGTTAGAAATAACCCCTACAAAGTTTCAAAACTGAGTATTTAATGGAGTACAGATGTTTATCACTTTGACACTGACTTGTGACTACTGCCAGGTATGGGACAGAAAGCTTATATTCGTCATTCAAGGTTTCAGTTGACCTTTAATTAACTTTTAGGGATAACAGCGCTCGTTTTTGTGGACCTAATGTGGTGAATGATTATCTGGAAAGAGAGGATATTAAGTGGTTGAGCTGGCCGGCTAGATCTTCTAATCTCCTAAATAGGGCAGAGGTCTCAAATTCGTGGCCCCAGAAGAAGTTTTAAGCAGCCCGCGAATACGTTTCAGTGATGTATTTGTTGCAAATACGGTACTTATAATTTTCGAGACATATGGATTGAGGTTATGATGTATGACTGCTATTGAAGGAGAAAGACATGGATTAATACTTCGGGACTTTCACTGTATGCTTGTACGCCAGGCCATGTGATTAAGGTGGGAGAATTTCCCACGTTGATACAGTTAGTAAAGTTAGTTTGTCAGCCGATAGCTAGTCATTAATTATTATGAAACGTTCAGTTTTGGGGTTAAAAGTAAGTTATTTAGTGCTTAATAAACTGGAATTAACTGAAATACATATCATAAACATCAGTCGAAAATTTATAATCAGCTGTCAATATGTTTGAATTACAGAGTATATCCGATAGAAATTTCTTGCTGGCATCAACCTTTAGATTTTAGATAAAAGATACATATAAGATAGAATTTTTCCTTAGCGTTATTATTGTTCCTGCACGTTTCGATAAATATCCATACAGTAAAAGTTTTAAAAAATTAGTTAATGTTTTATTTAAACATGTTTTTTGAATTTTGTTAAAAAAGTGTTCTGGGTCGTCAGCTGACTTCAGATCGAGCATTCGGCTCGCATGCAATTTGAGTGTGAGATGGCAACTATAGAACTTATATGGAACGTCTTGGAAAGGCAACTGCGTCTTTTCCTTCCCCAAACCGTCCTAGACCTGAAAACAACTTTGCTGCAAAAGTTGGTCCTACTGCCACAGGGCTTATAGTCTACCACTTTTCCAGAATGAAGCCACGTTATTATTATCACTCCATCATTCTTGGAAAGAAGCTCTTATTAGCAGCGCCTTTCTTGTTCGATCTTGTAACCTCTATTTATTACCTTATTTTCTACTTCCTTTCCGCATCCTTCGTGATGTAACTGGAAGCATACCCGTCGCACATTCCAAAAGTCCAGGGTTCGAAAAGGCGTGCCACATTTTTCACGTCTCACGTTTAAAAAAAGTCTAATGACTGCGCAACGTTCTTGCGCCGATTCTTACGCAGATTCATTAAAACTGTCCATCAGTTCAGGAGATAATCAACTGAATGTGAAAATTTTCACCACCAGTATTACAAAATCATCACTAATGTTTCCCATCAGTGTTTAACACTATCACCAGTGTTTTAACACTATCAGTGTTTCTCCACCACCAATTTCAAAACACCAATGTACTTTGAAAAAATGAAATAAACATACCACATAGCTTTTATTTTTGTTATTGTCAATATTTGAATTTAACTATTAAATATGAATCTCTCCCACGCAGATGATTTCATTCTGAAGTTTTCCCGACCAAGTTATTTAAAAAGTTTTAAAATTATTTTCCCTTTCCTTCTTTACAGATTCATAGAAAAGTCACTACTATGCCATATTTCTTACCTTAATCGTGAAGGATTATGGAACAGATAGAAGGCTCATGACTTCGACATCGTGGCAAGAGTGGACAGTAAGTAGATACAATACATATCAGTTACAAAATATATATACTTAATTATTAAAATAAAACGGACTTTAATGAATTAGATTTTGATGAGATTATCCGTCTCTTCTTATTTATAGTTTTATATCTAGTGATTATTTTCTGCTGCATAACGAACAAATTTATTAAACAGCTGATGTGTTTGCATTTCTTTTAAAATTATTTTTAGACAGATTTAATTTGAAACACCGTTGTCAGTTACATGTGTTAATATTGGTTTCAATTTTACATGACATATCTAAAAATTTTTTGCTTTTTATTTCCTTGTACGAAATAAAGGAAGTAATGTAATCTCGAAAAATTTCGGATGTCATATTTCAAAGAAAATATCTATTTTGCCCGGTATCAAAGCCTTTCGAACGATGTTTTTTCGTGACATCTGTACATACGGACAGATTAAAGGACTCTTTTTTTTTTTTTTTTTTTCTTTTCAAAACGGATTGTAAAATGGATTTAAAACGGATTCAGAAGAGATTTTTTCGTGACTAATCTTCACTCTAATCGTGCCTATTTCGAGAACATTCACATTTTTGATACTATTGCGATAGGAAGAGCGCATAGCGAAATAGCGTCCAAGCAGCACAAAGGTTGAAGCTAAAGCACGCATTTATCCAATGTGGAAGATCGCCAAGAGGAAGGTTTTGGTTTAGGTCAGAAAAGTTTCAGTTCTCAACAGTCAGGAAAGTTATTACTACTTTGAGAATACAGACAGGAAATACCCGAACTAAAATGAGGAATTAAGAAGCTATTATTAAATTAAATTATAAGGCTGATTTACGTATTTTTTATCTTAAATATATAAATATTGCCACTCTGTTACCCGGCTCGGTGAGTCCACTTTTTATTCTTATATATTAGTAAATTGTGCATTTTTTGCTTTAAATGTGATTGAATTATGTTGTTCTCATGTTCCGGTTAAGGTTTTTTAATGCTTTTAGTTAATCTGCATGTAATAGTTTAAGAATTATCAACAATTTAAAAGTTTAAGTACCGCTAAATCTAACCAGACCTTCATTTGTTGACATTTGAAATTCTTAGTAGAATAGTGAATTAAATCAGTTGGTGCACCAACTTCGGTGTCTTTTTGCTCAGTGGGCCGAAAGTTAACTTTCCATTTTGTGCACCTAAAATTTTGTCTTCCTAGCCGTTGGCTGAATAGCTTGTTTTGGTTCTTATTTTGATTGCAATTCTTTTTAACCGTATTTAGTACTTCGGGTTTTTCTGCATTTTACGAATTTTAATGAAAATTGAGTTTTTATGTAGTTTTGCCTTGCAGCGAAGTGAGAACTGAATTTATTGAATTAGAAATATATCCTTAATGTAATTCGAGGAAATAAGTTTAAATGAAGTGCAGCAAAAAATGTGTATAATTTAATAGGCTGTACAAGGAAATCACGTGGTGTCCACATCAGCTTTTTTATTAACGTCATCAACCTTGGTTGAGTTTATCAATTTAGGGTCAATCTTCCATAAAGATACAAAGCTAGAGATTTTTGGCGATAGGCTTATTTAATGACGGTTATAAAGGCGATATTCATGAAATATAGTAGTTTATTTTATTATTAAAAGCATAAACATGTTGCAAATAATGGCCAAATATTGTCAACAGTTGCTAAAAACCAAGCTCGCACTTCCAAATGAAGGTTAGATTTTTAAAATTTTAGATTTTTGTTCATCAATAAACATTTGGCTTCAACGGCCCTATTAAGAAAAAAAACAAGGCAGGTAGAATAAAAGCTTCGATAACACTTATAAACAAATCAATTCATTTAAATTTGCCATCAAAATTAAGATATATTGATGCAATATACAGGATTTATTCGAAGCGAAAAGTGTACAAAAGCTTTTGTAACTGAGTATTCAATGTACAATATTATTACAGAACAACTTAAAATGATGGAGATCAGAAGTTTTTTATAGACACAAAAGCTTTAGATAAGACTATCTGTACACCAAATTTCCCCTTCTAACTTCATTCTGTTGCAGACCATGATTTAGTACTGCATTTTCAAAAAGTCATTTTCCGAAAATGCAGCTTCTTACCATCATTAGAACAAATCCTGTACTTTGGCAAAAAACCTTAGAGCAAGGGTACGTATAGATATATATATATATATATATACGTACGAGGCAATACGTATATTTTGCCTCCGTACATCCCAGTTTTTTATATTTTTACTTCACCAACTGTGTAAAACTCAATAAAATGCTAAGTGTTTGCAAGATCTAGGCAACAACAAAACAGTTCTTCTATTCAGAATCAAAAGTTCAAAAGTCCGATTTCAATCATGCTTAATTAATTCCGATTAATGTACTACAAATAAATTTACGAGTCCATACTGATAGGGAATTATATTTATTACTAGTGCAGAAGACTCAGTGTATAGTATTATATCAAGTATTATTTGTGAAAAGCAAGTAGATCATCTGAATGTGAAATCAATTCGACCCTCTGTGCTATCTCACTATGTCTCGCAGAATTACAAGCATGGAGAAAATCTTTTCCTTTATGGCAGTAAGAGTATTTTATTGTGCAAGTAGCACAGATCGTATCATACAACAAAGAAGATTAGCATTTGAATAAACAGTGCACAGGCAATGACTGCAATCAAGAATCTTTTACTGCAGATAAAATTCTCAGATCAATGTACTTCAAATTCTTTTACTGCGATTTTCCCAGAAGGAATCTATTTGTTAAAAAATGAGGAACTAATGTGAGAATTATAATGAGAGAAACAGTGAAGTTCATTAATTGAGAGAATCAGTTAATTTCATACACTTAATGTAGACTTACAAAGTATTTACTCCCTTCTTTCTGCATGCCGTCGTGGTGTAACAGTAGCACACTCGACGCGTAATCGAGAGGTCCGGTTTATAGTCCCGGCGAGGGCATTGCACACTTTTCACGTCTTTTGCTTCAAAAAGAAACCTAATAAATTCACAGTGTCGCCCGAACTAAAATTCGGTGGGCGATGATTCTTCTTCACCAGGATTTGACGACTGGGCCTCCTTTTTCCCTTTAAAAGGGGGAGTATATAAGGTATTTTCTCTCTCCTTTCTGCATGCTTCGTGGTGTAACGGTAGCACACTCGGCGCGTATTCGAGAGGTTCGGTTCCAGTCCCGTCGGCGGCATTGCTCATTTCGCGTGTTTCCTATTTCAATCCTGATGACTCTACAAGCTGTTCCAGATTATTCGTAGTTTTACTAGAAATTATATACTATGAATAATCTGGAAGATATTATTCCGCGCGATATGGATTCCGCGCGATATGGAAGATATCATTTTATATCTTCCATATCGCGCGGAACTCACATTTTTGATCTGCTCTTTTTAATGTTGTGAAACGAAATCAAGATTTCTTGTCTGACGCCAAATATTAGTTTCCTAATGCACTGTCAGATTAGTAGTTGCTGTACAAATTATCTTGCTTTGCTGAAAGACCTCAGTAAGTCTCCCGAGTAAACACATAACAAATCTTCATGATATCTGATAAAAGAAGAATTTAAAAAATTAGAATTCGATTTCCTTCAAAAGAAAAATGTTAATGACCAGTATCCCTCTCTTTATTTTTAGATTTAATAATCGAAATACTTGTCAACTTCAGGACAGTTTTAGGGAAAGAGTTATTTGGATTTAAATGAAGACTTTGACAAATATTTTTTAGAACATTTAGATAATATATGCGAAATCCCTTTCCTCTGGTGGAAAATTGCTGTGCATGAGATTCCTTTTTAAAGATATATATATATATATATATTACAAAACTGCCGTGTGATGAGATTTTATACCCAAGTTCAAGAACATACCGTGGTCGTGGAAACAAGAAAAATTTCTTATTATCTCTGACTGTACCATCAAGTTTATAAAGCCTTTCTGAAGATATATATGAGGCAGTGATTTTCACCCACAACGTATTTGCTTTTAATAGGAATTTTTGAAAGCAAGAGAGAGGAAAAATTAGCAAACGCCTTCGCCAGGGATCGAACCACGGATCTCTGGAATACTGGCCCAGCGTGCAGAACCACTACACCACGAAGGCACGCTAGGAAGGCGGAAGATATACCTTGTACACTCCCCCTTTTAAAGGGCGACTGTGGTTTTTAGGAGGCCCAATAGCCAAATACTGGGTGAGGAGAATCATCATCCAACACCCTTTTAGTTCGGGAGCAACTGTAGAGACATTAGATATTTTTGGAAGATGGAGAGATGAAAAATTAGTAACCGCTTCGCTGGGAATCAAACCACGGACCTCTGAAAAACCGGCTCAGTATGCTGAACCACTACACCACGAAGTCCCGCTAGAAAGGCGGGAGAAATACCTTATAACATTTTATCATATCTTCGCTTCAAAGTATAAACCCGATAAACAGATGCCCCTTCTCCCCCCCCAAAAAAAAGCCTTGTAAACAACTTCTGTCACTGAAAAACTGGTTTTTTTTTGTATAATCTTGAATGAATAATAATGATGTATGATCTTGAAACTTTGTGTAAAAATTGTTCATTCCGAAGTCAGAATAATTGATTAGAGTAAACAGATATCCCTCCCCCCCAAAAAAAAAATTGCACTAAGCCATGTAAACACTTCTGTCACTGAATAACTTTGATGAATTATAATCTTGGAACTTAGTGTAAAATATTTTTATTAGAAAAATCAGAGAAATTGGTTACACCCCCAAAAAAAGATGTAAAAAAATCAGAGTACTTAGCTGCATTTCATACGTGGGTTTTGTTCCCTTACAGCGCAATATCCACCTTGGCACCCCAAAAAGATTGGAAAAAATCAGAGGAAGTAGCGGATTTCATAGATGGTGTTTTGTTTCCCTTTACAGTGCAAATCCCCTCTTGGCAAAATAAAATCCGCAGACATAATCTACAAACTGACTGATGAGAATAGCTGAAAATTCACAGAACACAGAAGCCGTTCTTGGAAGTTTTGTTGTTGCGGGAAATATAATAAGACTTTAT